CACCCCAAACTGAGCGCAAGTTTGGGCCGGGGATGGGTCCAAAACAGACGGAATCCGGAGATTTTGTCCGTTTGAGGCCGTGTGATGGGCTGCGCTATTCGTCCGTTTTACCCCAAACGGACGGGGGCGGACAGGATAGGGTCGCGCGGTGGAGTTGTCCTTAGGGCCAGTTCTTTTAGGCGATTCTACCAGAATCGCCCCCCTCCCCAGCTTCTCACAGAATCATTACTCCATATGTTTTTTACAATCCTAGCTAATTAGACTTTAACTAAATAGGGTTGTAAAAAAATATGAAGTAACAATTCTGGGAGAAGCTGGAAAGGGGGGCGATTCTGGGAGAAAACTGGCCCTTAGTGGACCATGCAATGCAATATGAGCTGACTCGGCCAGGGCCCAGCGTCCACCCTAGGTAGCAGGTTAATTCTGGTCTGCCTGCAGCTTTAGCTTCAACAAGTGGCGCACACAGTTGAGCACCCGTACGTGCACATGTACAAGTTGCTTCGAGCAATAAGAGAGTAGCACTATACCTAATTAATTGGCATTGGTGCATGTCATGTCGTAGGTGGGCATCACTAATTGCATGTGAACCGTACCGATCCATCCAGCAGGTATATTTCCAACGCACCAAAAAATTAGGAAAGATATTATGCACATTGTAGTACTCACGTACTACAATGAGTTTCAGGTTTGGAGCATTTTCTTTTTGGGAGTACACACGTAGGTATCTCGACACAAACTTGGGCTGCCTAGATAAAGAGCGTACCTGCCTTGTAGCACATTCACAACTTCCCCTTTTCAAAATATATCTTTTAGTATGTGTAAATGGATGTACTAATTCCTCTTTATTATTACTTTTTGTGGGGAAAAGGAATATTCATTAATTAAGTAGCAGTCATGTCTGCATTAGATAGCTCCAGAACCTCGTCCGCCCCGTTTGCTAAAAAAAGTGGCTAACAGCTTTTGTTCACGCCTCACAAGTTTAACGAAAAATTTACCATGTTCCCGAAGATGCGAAGTAATCTCGTGGATCAACATCATATACTTCGATCAGTCGCTAATGCCTCTTTCGATTAGTTTTACCACTTCCGCACAGTCCGTTTGAATCACAAAAGGCAGCTCAGACCACTAGGTAGCGAGGGAGATGCCTTCTGATATGCAGCAAGTTCAGACTCGAGCGGTGATGCACACTGCCTTAGCTCACGGCAAGACAAAAAAAATAATATCTCCATGTTCATCCCGGAGGACCATGATAGCTCCTGCAGTTCCGTCCTTGGCAGAGAAGGACCCGTCGATGTTGAGCGCAGCCTAGCTGGCCGGCGGTGCCTCCCATCCAAGTGCTGATGACTTCTCATGCTGTACATGTGATAACAATTTCCTGCTGGATAAAGGCGTAACCATCATTTTTCCTTTGATATGATCTCCATGAGGGTACGTACGCTAACATGTTTCATTTTCAAACAAGCAAGAAAGAGGAAATACAGACGGGAGTTGGTGAGAGCACTGACAGGGGTTGGGTACAACCGTCGCTCAAAGACAGATCGGCATATCGCCATGCATGCCGCAACAGGAACCGTCGCACGCAGTTCCTTGCCTAGTGCAAATATATACCCCGTAGGCCGTAGCCAGTAGTACGTGCGTGGCTACAACAATATAATTGCAGAGGGTCCAGCGGCACATGATTAAGACAATATGTCCTCAACATTTGTACCTCCTGTCACACATAAAACATTGGTACAAACACATTTGTCCAAGTGTTCACAAGATTACAGGATTCTGTTCATTGTTTTGGCGAGATACAAGAAAGATTTTTTCTGGCAAACATTAGTAGTAAGGTCTACCTGGTCTAACATGCCTAATCTTTGACACGTCTTTACACGTTGCAGTTTACTACAGTCTGAAATGACATGCTCGTAACCAAAAGGACAGAGCAGTTTGTTTCATGGCTCCATAATAAACCAACCAATACCTGGCTGGGAGTGAGCCACGTCTGGGCCTTTACTCAATCAATGGCTATTTTTGTTCTAATAATTAAGGACATTTGCAACACGGACCTTCACACCACCCGCATATGTCCGGGTCGCACGATCCGAACGTATTTTGTCATGCCAGTCCGGATGCTCG